AAAAATTATGTGATCTTTAATTTGTTAAAAAAAACATAATTACCCCTAGAATTTTAAAGTACGAGGAACTAATTGCAACAAAGAAATATAGTAGGAAGAGATAAATTATAATTATCCATATTATATTCCTGTGTTAGAGTTGAGAATGTTTTTACTTGGTTTGAAGGCATCTATATCAAATGGAATTTTAATTTTGTAAAAAGTCAATGAGTTATTCTTTTGGTCAAGAGGGAATGAAGTCTTTAATTGAGAATTTTCTTGGTGTATTTATAATAATTAAAAAAAAAATTACATATTTACTTTGGAAAATGCATTAAGCACTATGTATCATCCTATTCATTGTCTTTACTTCCTTTTCCAACAATTGCTTTGGTGGGGGTGCTGATTTATGCATGTAGAACATAATATGATTAGTAAAAACGTCTGAAAAAAACTTGGTTAATATTAACTAATATTCTATAAAAATTCGAAATAACATAACCCAAGTATAGCACAACACAATCGATGATAATTCTAATTGTAAATGCCCTTATACAAATCATACATGAGAGGCACATGTATGTTGTTTGGGTCAACAATTGTCATGTAGGAGCTACATTATACCAAATTTTAAGAAGTTAAAGATAAAATTGGAAAGAAGAAATATTAGGGGCTCAATTGAAACTAGAGGCAAATTTAAGGGCCCGATTTTGTAATTTTCCAAAATGTATTGAAGGTAAATGCGAAAAAAACCAAACCCCTGAGAATCCCGCAGTATAAAACCAAACCCAAAGTCGTTTTGGCGCGAAGGTTCCCCCCCCCCCCCCTCTCTCTCTTTCTCTCTCAGGGTTACCCACCCAGAGTGGAGCTGATGCTTCTGCTTATGTCTGGAAGGCTCATTCTTCAATGGGAAGCTTAATAGGTTTTCGTCCTCCTCAGTTCTCAGAGGTACATTTCTTTATGCTGCTTCTTGTTCCATCACTAATCGATATACCCTGTTGTAGATATTGCAGTTCCATAAACGCATTGAATGGGGCAAATTTTGGGCGTCCACTGAAAATTAAGAATAGGATTGAAACTATCTTGAATGGAGCAATTTGATTTCTATAAAATTTCCAAGCTTTTCTTTGGTGAATGTTTATTGGGGTAAATAATTGCGAAGTATTGGTGAATATTCTCAGATTTTTTAATTACAGGATTTAGCTTGGCTTCCTGCCTGGCTTCAGCCCAATCATGATCAACCATTGAATCAGCACAATGGGGAAGGACACACTCCCATGGAACAATGTATACAGGTTGGTGGTTTTCTCTACTGTTATTCCACTAATGATTTGTTATTTTGGATCTATGCTGCTAAAGAAAGTAGTTGTGCGCCCTTGGGTCCATACATTTCAATGTTTTTCTAGTCAGAATGAAGTCCCTTTTACTTGGAAGGGTTGATGCTCTGCGCTATCTTGTCATTAGGTCAAAAAGAGAAAAACCAGAATACCCTTTTGTAGAGGTTTATAATTTAAAGAATACCTTCACGTGGCTCAAAGAATTTTTGTGGAGGTTCGTAATTTAAATAACCCATAAGGCCATCTTGGAGCAATTAAACATCCACAAGAACTTCTTGGGGCAATTAAACCTAAAGAAAGATTCAATGCAGTACAGATCAATGTAGTTGTAATATGACATATATGTAAGTCAAGAGGAAGATTATAGTGGTAAAATAGATTGAATGTTTGTATCAACAATCAGTTTGATATTCTACAGTACTTTTATAAGATCTAAAGTTCTCCTGGTAATGTTAAAAGGTTATTGGACCCAGTGTAATAATACTGTTGGAAGCCATCTAACTGTATAGTAAGAACCATGTAGAATGTTATACCGTAAGGAGATGAGATGTATCTTGCCATGAATATTCACAATCTTATCATTTTTAAAGCAATATCGGTTTGGAGCTTCATGAATTCAGCATAGCTCGCTGACTGTGATTTGGTTAGGAACTCCCTCTTGAAACATTTCCAAAAGCTCGAGTCTTATGTCCTCTTCTTCTTTTGGTGGGGCTTCCTCTTTAGGTTCTTGCAGCTTTATCCCTTTTAAAAATGCCTCATCTCTTAGTGGAAGCTTGCAAATTTGAAAAGTTCTTGAACTGTAAGAGCCAATGGTTATCCCCAGCTTTTTACTTGAGCATCAAATAGGCTTCAGGTGCATATGTATAACGTTAATAGATAAAATGAAAACAATTGTACGAACCAGTTGTTTTTTCAAAAGCTAATTGAAAGGGAATAGGGAAAGCAGGAAGTTTTGTACTTCTTGAATGACCTCATCAACTTTCATGTCAATGAACTTTTGCTTGCTCGACAAATCATGTTCATGAATCAAAACTTGGCTTTGACTTACTAATACAATGAACTGTTGCCATGGCTCTGTTAGTGATTTAACAAGTTGAATTGGTTTCACCCTAATTTATTTAGTGTCTGAAGTTGTATTGTAGGTATATAAATATATCATTTGATTGAACAAAAGGTCTCCTGATGGAATTTTCTCATTACAAGGACAGGAGTTGTCAAATCTTCAACAAAACATCAGCACAGAGGATGAGGCGAATTTGTCATCAAGGGACGAAGCTGGACGCAAGAGTTTCCCTTTGTTCTTATCTGGGGAAGACAATTCACCAGTCAGTTTTGCTCAATCTTCTGGAAATGTAAGTTCTCAACAAAGTTCCTGAGAGCAGAATTATCATGGAAATGCAAATCTTGTGGCATTTCATTAAGGATCAAGAATCATATTTGGTATTTCTTATTTTCGTTTTTATGGGTTGAAACAAGCAAAAGCCAAATGTTTTTATTTTTTGTTGAAACAAGCAGAAGTCAAATTTATCCCTTACATTGGATTGCTTTTCAAGTTTTTCCACATATACTTCCTCTGTGGAATTCCCAAATCATTTCAACATCTGAATGCTCAAATTGGACATTGGAAGTGGTAGATGAAAATGGATACTGAAGTATAATTAAATCTTGGACAACCATCACTTGATTTTACAGCTGTTAACTACATATTATAAAGTATATGGAGTCCCTGTAAGTGCAAGATTTTTTTTTCGATGGCTACTGCATTCAATTCAATAATTATCTCCTTAAAAGGTTTTGATGTTCTACTAGATGATTTACAGGATCAAAAATGATGGTATGGAACATATTATAACTCAAAATATACCACTTTTGTTGCTTGTGAATAGAAAATGTCTAAAAGATGTGTATTTGATAGACGTTCTAGAGAGAAATAGGGAGTTCATGCTCTCACTGAAGCCCAAAAGAGGATAGTGACAAATCAAAGAATTTTTTTCTTTTCTTAGACCTATCCCCTGCTTTATTGTCTATATGATTGACATAACATTTTAACCAAGTAGATGTAATTGCCTATACTATTTGTTGTGATCGTGCAACAATTATGGTGAATAATAAGGAATCAAACAATTAAAAAAGCAAGAGAAAATAACACAGAGATTTACGTGGTTCGGCAATGTGCCTACATCCACATGAGCGAGCGGCCGTTTTTTTTTCATTATTCAAAGTAGGGTTACATTTTAAGTATTTATATAACTCTAGTACGGACGTATTTACAAAATACCCCTGTACCGTGCCGCGGGGGCATTGCCCCCGCACCCCCAACTAATCAGCATCCCCCCATACATAAAATATATCAATCCCACTCTGGCATCTACCTCCTTACCATTGTGCACACAACAATATATGAGACACATATACTCTAACACTATTCTTTGTTATTGATTTAAAAATTTAAGAACAATAATTATTTTGTTTTTGTGGAGACTTTGATGGGTAGGGACCCCCCTCCTAAGAAAAAAATAATAAGTAAGGAAAAGAAACACAAAGAATAACCTAGATGAATTCATCCAATGCCGTTTCCATCAGTCTCTATGCAAGAGTCAAAAGAATCAATCGGGGGTGGAATTTTGTGGAGTGAGATATGCAGGATGGAAAAAATATTTGAAACAATATCAGGGGTTAGAAAGTAGATAATTATGGTGACTTTGATGGTAAAATAGAAAAACCTTTTGGAAGATAGAAGGATAAATGTACAAGGTGGGAGATGCCTTGAATTTCCGTATAGTTAAAAATTATCATTCATTTGAGGAATTCAATGATTTTTTGCCATAATCACGACCAGAGAGTTTCTTCTTTTTTTGATTTTGAGAGAACATTGCCTAGCAAAAATGCTGGGTGCAACATGGGTTATTGTGTAGAGCTAGAGATTCTGCTTTACTACATATATGTATTTACATAGATACACATATATTCACCAGTATTCTAGTTATAAATTTGATAACACCTCCGTATATTTTTAATTTATATCCCTTTTTAGAAGGTAAATTCCCCCTGTTAGTGTTCTGTTATCTGACCCGATTTGGGAGTTAGGATGAATCTGATGTAGGACAAGTCTCTAAAGTTCAGCCTCTGGAATTTGGTGTAATCCATTGTCTTCGTGGCTTGTCACTCAGATATAATCCTTCTTGACCATTGTCTAATGGGTTAGAGGCCTGTGATTAGGTCCTCGGCTGTGGAATAAATATCTTTTGGACTAGCCATGAACCCCAAAATTTGTCTTTTTTGATATTTAATATCTAAGAAAAACTGATAGAAATGCAAGACAAGAAGCATTGCATTAATGATTTTTTAGCAGACCAAATGTACTAATGATAGGCAAAATAGATTTGAGATTAAAAGTAACTGGAAGCGAGGATTTGTGGGATTCTAGCTTACCTAATCTTTGTTAAGACAATGGTAATCAATTATTGGATTGTGAGAAATTTATTCTCCTGCTACAGCTCATCATCAATCACCAGTTTGGCTTTTTGTTTCCTTGGTCTAGATTCATAGTATTTCCATCTCATATTGTCAACTTGTCAGATGACTCCATATCCTCAATTTTGGTATTCGCTAATAATGCCATGGAATATGAACCCCTCTACTAATCTCTCTATTTTCATCTGAGCCACGTAGAACACAAGGCTGATCATTTTGAACACATGCAATCCCCTTGTTCTACACAAGTCTGTCAATTCTTGGGTTGATACTTGGGGGATGTTCCTAGAGGATGACTGAAACTTAGGACATACAATTGAAGGTGGTTCTAGTCTGTCTGGCTTGTTACCCCTGGGATTATTTCACAATTTTTTTTAATCATCATTGTCCTATGCAAGAGGTATTGATGTAGATTGGGAGAACAAACGGAGATGAGAAGAGAAGAAAAAAATTGGGAAGGCACGAGAATGCAATTTTATTCAATAATCCAAATTGGCTACAATCCGTGCCTCCATCCCCTTTATAATGAAAACCAAAAATAACTAGTCTGAGAGTCCTAATATGAACTCTATGATTCCTACCATCAATCAACTAATAAATTTAAAAGTAAAATAGATCTCAAGATAATGCCCAAAGACGCATTATCCAATCAGGTATTATTTTAGGGGCAACAAGAAACTATACACCAACTCATGTGCATGCTTCTAAAGCATGAGTTAGACTATGTCTCACACAAGTCCTGATAGTTTCTATGCTTCTTAGCACTACCCCACGATACAGACAAAAGAAAAGGAAGGAGAATCTTTCACCTCAATTCCATTTTAATGTGCAATTAATTGGTAGCTATTTTCTGAGATTTTTCCCCTATTCTTTCCATGTGTTATTGTTTCTGTTGTGCATTGTGCATGGGTAATAGGTAGTGTTTATATTGTCTATCAGAGCATAAACTACATGTATATCACATTTTGTTGACAGATGGTTCATTTTCATCTGCATCTGTCTTTGGATGGTAATTCAGAATATGAGAACGCACCAAGTCCTCTATTGGATACCTCTCAGGCAGAGATATGTAAATTATATCATCCAATGCAGCCAACTGAGGCTTCAAATATTCCAGATGAGAAGAATAAATTTGAAGTGCACCATAATGCTGGTGTGGTAAATTTTCCTTTTTCAACTCCCCAGCATGAGAAACCCAAAAATTCTTGTTCTCAATCTCTTACTGATTACAAAGATAAATTAGAAAAGCACAATGAAAATGTAAACTCTCCTTCCAAAGTTGCGGATATCAGCAATGCAGTTGAACTCTCTATTGCAGCATCTGAAGCACTGGTTATTTATGAATTAATAACCTTTGGAACATTTACACAATTTTTGCCAGCTTCGGCTGTACTTGAAGTTGCTCTTAAGCTGAAACAAGCACGGTTGGAGGGTTTGGAAGAAACCTCTTATTGCTTAACTGAGGAACTTAGTGAGATTGATTTTCTATCGGACTTGGATGAATTGACTATGGCAGATGCATATGAAGATGTAGGGTTATTTGCTACTGGTCGTGATGGTTTGCATGGTCATGACTCAATTGTATCTCAAGTTAAAGATACTTTTGCCTCGGAAATTTATACAAGTGAAAACAAATCGATACATGAAGAGGTTGGGGTTCCTGAATTTGATTATGGTCATATTCATAGAAAAGAACTGCTAGAAGATGTTTTGGATATTGATATACAACTGAAAAAGGAGTTGGCGTTAGAGGCTTTCCAAAGTGACGGGCAAAAGAAGCTTATTGATGATCCACCGCTTGGTTTAAATGCCACCAGTGTGTCATGTCACTTGGATCCCATGTTGCATTGTCCGGTCCAGGAAAATCCACAAATTTCAGCTTCAATAGAGGTAAAAGGAGTTATGAACTGGTTTAATTTGATATTTATTGCATCTATTCATTTTCAATAGCTTAACTCAATATAGATGAGCCTGCTAGTTTAGTTTTCTCTTTAAATACATGGTCCCCTGCCATGCCCCTCGTTCCCTCTTTTTTTCTGGATAAAGTGCAAGAGAATGTTATTAAGTAAAGAGAAAGTGTAAAGGTACATGGGAGGACAAGGAGTCCTCTAAGGGAAAATCAAGGAAGAAAAATAGGAAAAAGAAGGAAGCAAAATTCGAAACTTGTATTGCTTCAGTTTGTTAGGTAGATTTTTTTGTTTTAGATTCTGAAGGAAAACTTTGTGATAAATGATCTAGCTTTACCTGCAGAAACCTGATTTTTCCATGGGGGACAAAGCTTTATTCCAAGCAATTGCAAACTCTCCTCTTCGGGCTAGGAGTTCTGAAAATGCTGGTGAAATTCTGCTTTCTGCTTCCATGTCTTTTCTTCCTTTTCTGTTTAAAAAGTTGTGATGTATTCTATTTATTTTCACATCCTTTGTGCCATCCAGAAAGAGAAACACAACCATCAAATATAGTTCCAGACAGATTTCAAAGCCGCTGGTTAGGTGGTTGGATATGGAAGGTAGTGCTGCATTTGATTACATCTTCTCTCTCATTAATTCCTCCCACACCCTCTTCTGTGCATTCTTTTCTTGAAGGGATACTCTTCATTTTATTTGCGACTCTGAAGACTTCACGATACCGTTGATTGTGTACATTAAGGAAAATGTTTAGCTTGCCACCTTAATCTTTTTTGCAGTACTGTGAGATTCTTTGTATTTTCTGCTGTAATTTTTCCCTTTCACGATCCTTGTTTGCTGATTTCTTTCTAGCAGTTGGAGGCAAAGTAAAGAAGTGTGAACCATATATCCAATGCTAAAACATTTGCTGGCTCGATCCAAGTTTTTTCGACATTTACTTCAATTTGGGAAAACTCATTAGATGAATATTCTAGGCACAAATGCCCTGGCTAGTGATACCTGATAGGTGACTAACAACAAGAGTGAGGTCCATCCAATCCTTGTTAAATTTTAATGATGCAGAACTGGAAATTTTCTGTTTTTTTTTCTGAAGTGTATATCCATTTTTTGTATGCTCTTTAACGGGCTTAATAAATCAGCATGGTAACAATGTTACATGATCTATGCCGCAACACATATTTATAAGCCTTGTTGAACATTAGCCAATTCCTGTATAATACTTTTCAGTCACTTAACCTTGTCCCTTGCTTTTGTCATCATGATTCATGGCAATGTTGTGAACCACAACAACGCAGCATTTGCAACATTTGTTATCTATTTCACTAAAAAAGGGCGGTCCAGTGGACGAGGCTGCCACCATTACGGTGCTTAGGGAGTGTCATATTTATGTAGCCTTACCCTTGCATGTGGAGAAGCTGTTTCTGCAATTTAAACCCTCATTTCATAATGGAACAACCTTACTGTTGCGCCAAGTCCCATCCTTTATTTCTTTTTCTTATTTCACTACTACTTCATTATTGTTATGTATCTGAGCCTATTGATTCTACAGTTTTTCAGTACTTTGATTTGACATACTTTTTTCCCCTCGTTCTTGCCTTTGCTTCCCAGAAGGAAGTAGCTGATTCTGCTCCAGTGGAATCTAACAATGCTCAAAGCATCCCTGCTGTTTTTGTTAGCGAGACTAGCTTTTTCTCAGAATCTGCTGATCTTGTCCCAGATGAAAACTCTGTCGTGCAGAAACAAGATAAAGGGTCCAACATTGCTTCTCAAGCAAGCATACCTTTTGAAGGTTTATGCAACAAAGCAAATGAGGGGATATTGCCTTCTCAGGATGTTGCAAGATCTTCTAGTTTATCCTTTGACCCTCTTTGTTCTGTTGTTCCATGTAGTATTTCTTTGCAAAATACCTGTTCAGTTCCAGCTTCAAAACCAAATGTTAAGGTTGACTCTGGAAAGTATTTCAGCACTGCACAAGAATATGGTATGGACAATTCACACATGGCCTCAGCTCTAAATCTTGAGTTGGTGGATGAGGAAGTGTTGGCGGTTCCAGTGACCAGTGGTGTTGTCCGCAGGAAGTTTGCCTCACTTAAAACTTATAGCATGGTATTGCCTAGCTACCAAACTTTCTTCGAAAGAGGAAGTATTCATTGTGGTTACTGGTTAGTCATTCCCATTCAAGTGCAGTGAGAGGTTTCCTCTGTAATGCAGTATCCAGTCGCAGATTTGATAAAGGAGATGAGAAACTTTGATGAGATTGCCGCAGATGAGACCAAATTTCCAGCTAATAGGCAGAAAGAAAGGAACTCACCAGTTGTTCTAAACCGTGGGACACGCTGCAGGTTCCAAGCTTGTTTTGCCCATAGTGTTGATGAAGGAAATGCAGAAGCAGCTATAGAACCAGAAGGTGAAGTAGAGCTTCTTCAGAGAAAGAACCTCCAAAAGGCAGAGTCTAAATGCAAAAATCTCCAGGATATTCGAGTTCCAGCAAGAAAGCGTGTTCATTTCTCAGAAGCTGAAATTCATATTCCACAACAGAAGAAACTCCACAAGCTACAATCTGCGTACAGAAATTGTGAGAATTAAGTTATAGAACTGCATTTAACCTTTAATTCTAAACCATTCTGAAAATTGTATTCAATACCTTAAATTGTTTGAATTGATGTAGGTTCTTCTAACAGAGTTCCTAAGAGATTAAGATGTCCCAACCTGCACTTTGAGTCTAGGCCTTGCGAAGTGAAAAGGCGTGGAGGAAATTACCGTGACAAGGATGGAAAGAGAATGATATTCCAAAATATAGAATTCTTACTTACAGGATTTTCTAGTCTAAAGGAAAAGGAAATTGAGCGTCTAATTAAAAAATATGGTGGCATTCTTCTTACCGATATCCCTTCTCCAAATTCAAGGGCAAAGAGAAGCTCAAAATTTGATTGCCAGCCGCTTCCTGTTATTCTATGTTTAAAGAAGGTTAGTTACATGAGAACTATAGTACTTCTTTTTGGCCTTTTTGACTTTTCATTCCTAAACTAGGATTTAATGTGGTAGGCTCTGAAGAATAATTAGCTTGAATGATACCTTCTATTATTTTATGTTTCTCCATGGTTATGAATGGGAAAAGTTTAGAACATGTGTCTGCGCCAACTTATCCACTTTTTATGGCCTAAAATGTGTTATATGAAATGTTTGTTCTCATTGTGTGACACCCCAAAGTCCGGGTGTCTGTAATTATCCGATTGGTTATCCATCGACCTGTGTAATACTGGTGGATATCGTGTAATTTGATACCACACCGTTATGCCCCATTTCTTGGGATCCATAACTTAACAAAATTTGGACAGAGTCTCCTTTGTACAAGGAGCTCTACTCAAAACGCAACCTGTACAACATTGACCACACCGGGTCTATCTATCCATTCACAATTGTATAGTCTCGAATACTACCATAATCATTATCAGTACATACATTTATTCGTAAAAGAATAAATGTCCCAAAAGAGTCCCATATACATGCCTTTGTAAATATAAACAATGTTTGTTACAAAAATTATACAAGGCCAAAAGTAAGTATAAACAAGAGACTACAATGTCAAAATAAAAGCCACAGACCGGCTCTGTCGTCAAAGCGGGCCCATGGCCTCGCCTTCGGTGGAAGCCTGTGCGATACCTGAAAAATGTTCCCATAAAGGGTGAGCTAACGCTCAATAGGGTAACTCCTATAGAGAATACCTCTCAACCTAAATGAATATGGAATGTCACAAGCAACGATCATTTGATACATTCATTTAAATATGTCTATTATGATTGAATGTTATAGATCATGTCATGCCATGAGATGAGACTCACGCAAGCAATACCAACCCCGAGCCCCATCCTGAGCTCCCATAACACATGCAATGTCATGCGTATGTATCCGAGCATTCCAAGCCCCCATCATTGGTGTTATGTACACTCAATGCTAATTAATTCATTTTCTTGTGTCTTTGTGGGGAGATGATTTATGGTATTACACCAATGGGACACCAACCATCAACGGATCTTCAGGACATCCCACCTGCGGCTCCGTTTCCGCCGTTACACTTTTTTGGAATTTCACCGCCGGAAAGTGTATAAACCAAGTAAGCGGGTCTTGCACCCGAGGGAGAATCTAGCCCTTCGTGCTGTCCCCAACACATTTATCCATTTAATTTCTCGTGCGACTTAACCGAACCTTGGTGCGACTTTTCCGAGTCCACGTTCAACCACCTACGTGGTGATTGATTTCATACCATGCATACACTCTCACCCATGTCAATGCCCATGAATGTAGTGTAACCCATGCATAATGAAATACAATGTAATGACATTTTAACACGATCTCAAGCATGTTATGTAAGATAATCAACTCAACTAACATACTTGTATTCACCTAGGCATTTAATCAAACACCTAAAGAGCACATCAATTTACACAACTAGCATGCTATGACTTGCAACATGATAACATGTTTAACATAAGCACAAAGTCCACCAAAATAATCATATGTTAAATAATCATTTAACATATATATATTATTTCACAATCATATAACAAGTTAATAATTTTATTAAACTTGATCTTCCATTAAAATATAAAGTAATGCTAACATACAATTAACATGCTTTAAACTACTAACATTAACTTATACCAAGTTAATCACAATAGAATTTTATTAATCACAAGATTAATTATAAATTCTATATTTGACCCACTAGTCAAGACCTAACATGTGATATACACTCATAATCTACTCATTCCATATGTCATATTTTAAGTTGAAATTAAATCTAAATAGGGGAAACCCTACCTCTCGTAGCGTGAGACCACTTACTAGAACGCCAAGGAAGCCCAAATTTAGCTTCCTAAGTTTTAGGTCTAGATTATCGGCTTTGATATACCTTCGAAGAAAAATACGATATTTGGTGTGGTTGCGTAGCTCTCGCTGAGTAGAGCAACTTTAGTTCTTGGCCCGAAGCGATTAAACGGTTAAATTTTCCTAGATCTGAGAAGGAAGAAAAAAGAAAAAAAATAAAAACTCATTTTTTTTTTTCACTCTCTCTGTGTCGCCGGCCGTAGAAAACACAAAAAGTGGAAGACAAAGTCTTCCACTTATATATATATATTATTATTTTTTTTAAATTTACGTTTTTGACCCATAATTTAACAATTAATTATTATTTTACCCTTTTTATTAGGATTTTAATAATAATAATAATATATATTTTTTTTTATCGGGTTTTACACATTGACCTTTTTTTGTTTTGTGTGATCTTCCATTCTTTTTATGCATACATATGATTTGTGAAATTTGAAGATAAATTTCATGGCTAAGCATCCTTATTTCTACTGGATGGAGATGGACTGAATAAGATATACATGAAGGTGTTAGAGAGGTAGCTAGAGTTTCTTTAGTTTAGTGAAGCATCGCTGGTGTAGCGATGGAGCTTGCATTGTGAAGTAGATAGTTCTTTTTCTTTTTTTATTCTGGGAGAGAGAAAGAGAGGTAGCCAAAGGTTTTTAAGTGAAGCAGCGTTGATGTTGTGGTGGCCACCGGGGACCTTTGTACAGTGAAGCAGAGTTTCATTTTTTTTCTTTGTTGACAGAATGAGAGAGAGAAGAGGGAAGAGAAAGGTAGAAAATGTTGACAACAATGTTTGGGGGCAGATGTTAGGGGTGGGGAGGCTGCTGGGTTGAAGCTGGTGGTGGATGGTCTTTAGGTTAATGATAATGGAGTTGTGGAAGAAAGGATTAAGAGATGGAGTAAACTATTTTCACAAGCCTAGGAGAGGGCGAGATTTGAAGTGGATCTTACCCACATGATTATACACGTGGAATTACTAGACACAACCTAGATTGGGGGGGGGGGGGAAGGGGGATGAATAGGTTTATTAAAATTATTACTCAGATAATCACCAATTTAAAACCTAATCGACCACAATTACCAATTAATCAATTAGCCATTTGAATCCCTTTTTACCCACAAGAACAACCTCATGAATGAATAGATAATGTGTATATGCAATTAACAAGCCAAACACTCCAATTGAGCAATCAATCCCTTCAACAAAGTCAATTCTATCAATCTTCAACCAAATCGATGAATTTGTAAGACAGAAATTAAACAATTATTCCATCGAACACATTGTGTGCATGTATGATGTTGTGTTATGAAGAGTAACAATAAAAGTTATCCACAACATAAGCAATTTGTTAACGCGGTAACCCTTCTCAGAAAAAACCGTGATACTGCACCTTGTTCACCTAGAGCCTTCACTAAATTCAAAGTCAATTTACTAGCCCATGGTTAGATGTTCCTTTATGTTGTAAATCACTCCTCCGGAGTCCCACCGAAGTTATGAGTAACTTCACTTGGACGAGCTCACTGAAATGAATCATCTAGGCCTCTCGAGCAATCTTTAAGGCTTCTCAATTCTCACCCAAGACTCTCGCTATGCACATTCTCCAATGTGGGTTTTGTTGATCACCAAGCTAGATCTTTTTCTCTAATGTGTGAAATTGAATAGAAAGGATCAAGATGGTTTGACCTTTGAGACTTAGGGATCTAAGGTTAAAGCTCTCTAGAAAGGTATTTGGTTTTTTCTAGCTCTTAGAGACTTACCCTAGGTGAAAACTATAGCCACTTATGTATATGTCTCGAAAATAGAGTTTAATTAGAGCCCAAGAAAACTCAAATTAGTGCCAATCACTCGAACTGTGAGAGAATGGTCAAAGGGCAGTGATTTCTAGAGTAAAAATGAGTCATTCTAGACCTCGAGGGGAGCAGACAGCTCGAACCTTCTCCCAACTAGAGCCGCCTCCCAGATCGCTCGAGCCACCAGCTAGTGGCCTTCATTGGCTCTCCAGTTTAATTTTCCTAAGTGTTCAGAGACCACTCTAGCTAAAGGCGAGTGAGTGATGGTGGTCCCTAGTGATTTTTAATTCAAAAATCAAGTAAAACTAGAACTGTTGAGCACTAAGGAGTATTGTTCAAAGAGAATCCGATACATGACTTATTCTAAGTTTTCAAAATACATATAAGGTATAGAAAATATTTTTCATGAAAAGTCTAAGAGTCATTCACGGATTATCCCAAATCCATTTTAACCTAATTACCCCAAGTCTAAAATTAAACCAAAGATTCTAGGTCTCTAGGTCATTACGTTTGTCCTAAGCGCATTGGAGATCTCTTGATTTGACTTTGCAGCTTGAAACTCCTTCCTCGAAGCTTTCGGAACTGAGCATCATGACCTTGCTAAATTGTAGCAGACATTATCGAGTGGATCACATGGGCATAAGGTGAATAGTTTATGGACTCAAGTGGGAAAAATGGATTAGAGACCAAATTGAGACAAACCCCAAAATTTGGGGATCGATGCTTATCACATAATGTTGTTAATGAGGCCTTTACAATTAGTCTTACACCATGATTTTACATAGCGGGGAAAGTACAGCCCCTTTACTACAGCTCTAATTGCGCAAATCTATGATGCCTTGGCATCAAGTACAGAAAAGGGTTCTAATTAATTTTACTGTGCCTGGTTGTAAGAAAGATTTGTAATCTACTTAGTTCATGCACTTGGCTTGTGAATACTTAAGTCAGAATGTTGCAAAAAAGATATTCATTCTACTAACATCATGTGCTTGGCATATGAATACTTAAGTGAGAATGTGGATACTCTCTTCAGGCTGAGGTAAAACTAACCAATGAGCTGATAGAATACTATGTGAATTTTGCTTGAACTATGACTGTACGTGCCTAAAACAGAAAGTATGCTGAATTTATCCAAACTAAGAACTTTTTGACCACTTCTTGTTAAGCATTCCTCTCATATCAGCTTGTACCACTCCTTTCTCAAATGGTGTAACATTGACGCATTGGTCCATCTGTTTGTCTCTAGTTGGGACTGTCAGAAAAGGGCATAAATATTCTTGAATCAATTAAGAGTATGCATCTAGCAAGAGCGGTTGATGGAGACAGATTCATTCAGCTGATGCCAACTGGTTGAGATTGAGGCTTGTTGAGTGAACCTGAGTTTCTGAAAGACTTTATGTTTAGTTTTCCCTTAAACTTTGCTTTTTTTGTGAATTGAATGAATTTGCTGATGTCTAATGTTTTGTAAAATTGAAACCACCTAAAACTTAAGCCGTGCTTAAATATTGGGGAGTCTAAAAGTAAAATTTCTAAAGTAAGTTCGTATTGACAAGTTCATGGAAATTAAGTACACAAACATAGAATTCTAGTCAGTTTGAAAATGGTAAGCTTTATGTCTTCAACTTTTTTGATTGCCATTTATGACGTGTAATATCTATTTATTGGTTTATTTGTTTTTATGGTTTTTGAATTTTTTTTTCTGGTGGGGGCTAGATCTCTCTAATTCTGGTGGTTGTTGTCATACTTTTTCAGGTACAAACGACCAAGTTCTTGTATGGCTGTGCCGTGAATGCCTGCATCCTGAAAGTCAATTGGCTTACTGATTCAATTGCAGTGGGTTATCTCTTAGCACCTGAAAAGTATGTCCTAGAATATGCTTAGCTTGCATCTATCCTTTCCTTCCTAGAATTGCTTAATTCTTCTTTTTCTTGTTGTAAACTATAGAATTTGCTTCTATTCTCTTAGCTTGCATCAACTCAAGAGTCATCAAAGTAATATTTTCTCTGCTGGTTCATTATTAAACTGTTATAAATTAAGAAAATTATTTGATGCCAGAAATCCGGTTTAAATTTGCATTGATTTGAGGATAATATAATCAAGTTTGAAGCTTATTAAATAAAGAAACTGTTTCATAAGGAGGACGTATTTTTATTACCTAGAACATAAGAATTCTCAAGTGATGGAATTCTAGGAGAGATGCATTCAGAATAGAGAAAACAAAAAATCTATGATAAGGACAAAACTTCCAAAAGCGATGACAACCAGGGATGCCCATTAGCACCTTGCCATATTTAAGGTAAATACGAACTTTGCTTCTTGAGGACCCCATGGGGAAGCTGAACTTGTAATGACAAAATGTACTCAATGACCTGGATAGTATTTGGTGTTTGTCGCCTATGTTGATGACTAACTGTGGCTAGACACAAATATTAGTATCATCGCAACCATCTCCACTTGCCTGTTAAATTCCATTGAGAATTGGTGGAGTTTAATGCTAAATGTTTAATTAACCCCCATTAGAAGTGTTTTTGTACCCCCTATTTCTTGCCTTTGGGGTTCATTTCATAGTTTGCTGCCTAACCGTCAAATCTAGCACCACATTGTTGCATGAAGTGCGAATTAGCAAGTTGTTGCTTCTTATTTTGTGTGTGTGTGTGTGTATATATATATATATATATTTGAGAGGGGGAGGGGATTTGAAAACTTGACCTCAAGAAGGCAAAACCTTCACAAGCTAAGGAGTATCATTGGACCAAAGGCCTTATTTTGTGTATTATATGTTTCAGCTTCTAAATTCTAATATCCATATGCTTGTAAGGAATTTATGGGATCCGAATGGAAGGAGGGCTTATGGGATCGAATCTAGTCATCTTTGGTTGCTTTCGTTTCTAAGGACTTTGAGTGTCCCACTCTTTTGTATATTGTCAGATTGGAAGGCATCACGTGCCCCATTAATTTTTGTTTTGAGTTTATTTTTTCCATTTCATGGTTGGACATCTTGTCCACCCTTTTAACTCTGATTTATCATTTTCAAATGAGCAATATTACTTGGACATAATTTATTGACCTAATTTGTTGACTTAATCATTCATAATCATTGGATTGATTGGAGCCCCAGTATTTGTTGGGACCCATAATCAATTCAATGGTTGTGATAGATTAGGTTAGCAAATTAAGTCCAAATAGCATTATTGTTTTCAAATCAATAAAATATTAATGTTTTCCTATAAAAAAACATCCATGATTTTAAATTATTGGAGTATTTGGAGTTCATTTTAATTGTTGGATTAATAGTCGAAGAGATTCTTCAGGAAATTGAGTATCAAGTTTTCATTTTTTTTAATTTAGTTCTTGGATTGTATTTGGTTGCTATATATTTTTTTCTCTGCGATAACCATGCTCCTTCTACATTGAATTCATGAGGACGTACTTTCCAAAAAATAAAAAAAATTCATGAGGAATCTAGTCTACTTCAATTGCAAAATACTCTTTTCAGTGTTTTTTTTCATCAAACCAAAAGTTTCTCTTCCTCTGACTGCCCTCTTATGGCTTGTTGGCTTACCATGAGGATTGGGAACCACAGGTCTGGAGTTTGAGGTTTGGTATATAGAAATGAAATTTTTTCTGCCCCTGTTGACTTTTCTATGATTTTTATACTTCAATTTGTCACTCTCTCGGTTCATGTTTGAACTGGTTTTATGTGGCAGATATATGATTCTTCCAAATCATGTTGGTGGGAAGTGTACAAGAATAGGAAAGCCACTGCATCGCGACAACCATCAGTACGTCTTTGACAGTGTTGGCATCATGCTTCATGGGACACACAATTTCTGCACCAAAATGGCAAGAGTTGTCAGGGTAGAGGACTTGCTCTCCCAATTAACTAGAGAGAGGCTCAGATGTGCATGTTTTTACTGCTTCACATCTGTTTATTTTTTGTATTTAGTTCTCCTCAATCCTGGGGATACTCTCACAGTATTCTTCTATAATTCCAAGTGGTATTGGATAGACTAAAGACACACCAAACATGTCAAAGCAGTTCTTAATGATTGACTATGTAGCAGGGTAGTCTAACTTGCCACATAGATGTGGATGATGGCTTGCCTTGACATGTCACTGGGAGCTCCTAGTAGGTCATTGGTTGGTTGGTCCTAGAGAGGGGTGCTTGTTGGTTTTTGGTTCTGTGCAAGTCACATGGTAGCCTTGGTGTTGTAAGTGTTCCACCTCCCTTGTGTCTCCCGTGTGCACCAGTAGCTAGTCATTCGCATCCGAGGAGAGAAAGGGATAGAAGTGTAGGTCGCGTGCCTCTTATAAAAGGTGACAAAGAGAATACTTGTCCCCACCTTGTTGGCCATCTGTCACATGTGCCTAGGTTGCACATATGACCCAGACTATAAATATTCATCAACATCCCCATTTGCATGCAATCCATGAGGGATTCACAAGCTAACAGAAGAGAGAAGATTGTATTCATGAGTTCTGCCATCTCCTCTCTCTGCTCCTTCCTTCTCTCCAACTGACCACCCTCCATCGGTTTCTCCAGTAAGACGTGTCCAAACCTTGACATGGAGGCTGTAGATCTTTTTCTGAGAGTTCTATGTCCCCCTTTTCTTTTAGCTTGACTGCTATAGCATTACTTTTCATGTGTTAATCTCTCTCTTTCCATTGTTTTTGTAGTTCTGAAAGCTTTTACCACAATTTTTCTTCTTTTCCTATCTATTTGGTCTCATGAGAAGGGTTTGCTGGTAAATACAATAGTTTCATCTCTTGCTGTGAATTCTGTGAATAATGATAAGGGAACTCTGAATTATGATAACATTCAAGTATGTGAAGTTTGATAGCTAAGACCTAAACCATCGCCAGTGGTCCACCAAAGGGTAGGAAAATAAAGCTAAAATGTACTTATGCTTTGAAAAGCCCTTAACAAAAACAGTTATTTTCTAAAGATTCCCTCTACAGTACCCAAATGTTCATTCAACCTTTGGTGCGGTCGTCTGCTCATATGAACAGATTTCGATGTTATTGGAAACTAGATTATCATGGCAATTTGTTGGTCTATTTGTTGAACCTAGTTCATACATCATTCCTGTTGTACACTTGTAACTTCGTGTACGTCTTTTGGGCTTTCCCTTTCAGTCTTTTGTGTCTGTCTTTGTATTGGGAACCCAAACCTGTTACAGTGCTAAGATTTTTGAAGTACGCGTTCAACAGCTAGTTTAGACAATAGTCTGGGGACTTCCTCCTTGATATTGTCAATGTTGTATTTGAACCTTGAAATCACCACTGTGGATCATTTCAGAATTGAGGCAGATATTGGGTGTTTGGTGCGCCTGATTGAGTATCCAAATCTGTTAGTGGATCCGTAGGAACTCATCAGCGTCTGGTCAAAGCGAGCCATTTGGACTAGCATTCTCTTCCTAATTCCATAATGGTCTGGTCTGGCCATTTCCATAGACAAAACTTAACCAGAAAAATCTCCAAGCATTCACTTCGTATTTTATTAACGATTCTAGTTCTTGCTCTTTTAGCTTGCTTTAGTTGATTTAAAATAATGGCCACTGATCATTCCATCATAGGGATAAACTGGACCCACCCATGCGATGCGCGGGATTCATAATCCCTCCCTTTCCCTTTCAATCCTTTCTTGATTCTTTTCCTCTCTCTCACGCATTATTTGGAAGTTAAAAAGGGTGGTTAGTTGGTGGGGGAATGGATGAGTGATTAATTAAGCCACTACTAGAATATAATTGGATGAAAACTTCTTCTTTTTTTTCAATAACAATTCAAAATTCTGTGAATCAATAGAAGGGAGAGGGAAGACTTCCAAGCCCTCTCCCCAAAAGATGATTCTATGTAGCACATGTTTGAAGCTCAATTTGACTAAAAATAATGTTTCATTTGTTTTCCTAAAACTGATGAGGCCCTGATAGAAAAGGCATTCAAGACTGGTGCTTGATTGACAATACTGCAATATCACTTATTTCGTCACCTGTATCTGAAAACTTACCAAAGCATGCTCTCGGTGACTGCTTTAAACTGTGCAGAGCTTTTTTTAACCGACACACACTCTTAAAGTACTCTCCCTGAGCAGTAAACCCAGATGGCTGCTCCATGTAGTTCCATCTCTTAGCATCTTGCATGATTGGTATAATTCAGTTGAAGGGATTTGTTTTTTTCATGTGGCATATACATTCAGTCATGTTATGCAGAAGATTATCACTTAACTGATGATAGCTCATCAAATCATTGTTCAATAACTTTTCACTATCACGACTACGAATTGCATTTGTCTACATTGGAGTGAGCCCTCTTAGTTTTGAAATTGTGCAATCAAGATCACGACATCTCGTAATATCAACATTGTCAGCAATCTGTCATTTGTGGCCAAATTTTATCTTGCACTTTACTTCAAAGTTCCAACTTTAGGTTTGCCTAGTGGAGCTGATTGCCAGATTCTGGTCATTTTGTTGTTTAATGAACTCTGAACAAATATATTTGTGAGGAAACACTTCTATGTTAACTTCAGACTAAAGTGTGTCGCTAGTATAGTTATGTCATACTCATTTGTGATTGCGTTCTGATTTTATCTTACATGTCTCTGTTGGCTCCATAGCATGGAGGTGGGCAGGTATTCAAAACCCTCCAGTGGTTGGTGCAGAGTCTTGATGCTGAAAAGATTTCCATGGGCTATATTGTTGCTGAGGATGAGAGTCGGGCTTCACGTCACCTGAAGCACTGTGCCTTGGAACAAAAGATACCCATGATGGTTTGTACTTGTATTTGTTAGATATCCATCAAGCTCTCGTTGTGTCGAACAAGTGTGAACCATCTTGTTAGCTTCTACATAAAAATGGCAGTGATCTGATTTTTTTCTTTTTTGCTCCAGTATTTAATGTTCTTCAACTTAGGATTATTGATTGCTTTATGCAGCCGGCTAGCTGGATAATAAAGAACTTGCATGCCGGAAAGCTTCTTCCCTTCATGGAGAACGACCATTCTTCTCGTTCGTCCCCAAGCTGGCCTCTGGATTTTCCAGTTTCTATGGACTGGAGTGAAGAAATATGAGACCTCTCCTATTGTACCCCCCTTACAGAGTAAATGCACAAGTATTGAATGATACTTTGGTGTTATTTCCATTGTGAGAAATAAATTATAGGACTATAATTATGAATGTGGTCTGTTTCACATGAATTCAGGTGACGAGCCAATGAAGAACATAACACCAATTTCAATGTTCCCTTGGAAACTAGAGGTGATCGTTCCTGAACTGACAATTTCTTCGTAGTCTAGCGTTGGATCCTGGCAATCATCCTCAAATACTGGTAAGCTATTTTCACTGATTGAAGTTAGTTAAGACAGTCTTGCATTGCGATCTCTGATTTGAGGTCACTCTTACCCCCACCCCACAAAAGAAAAAGAAATGTCGCTTTTTTTTTGTTTTACCAATCAAAATGAAAGGGAAAAAAAAGCAGAAGGTATCTAAACTAGCCTGGGAGATATTTGGCTTTGGTTTTTCAAATATTTGTCATTGTAGGCTATTTTGTATGTTTCAAGCTTCAAGGCTGCTTAATCATAGCATTTTTTTTACCAATCAAAATAAAAAGGAAGAAAATCAGAATGTATCTAAAAAAGCATGAGATGTTCGGCTTTTTAGTTTTTCAAATATTTCTCCATTTTTTTTGTCTCAAGCTTCAAGCCTTTAATCATAGCATGCTTTTTATTTTCTTTCCAGAGTCCAGATCTGTGTGAAATCGGATAGACAGAAAAACAAAAAAAAAGGCAGATTTAATCTTTGAAGACACATTCTCCATGAGCTCAGCGCAACAATACCCGTCAGGCAATTGAGACAACTGGTCAGTGGGCAATACTGGAGAGATCGGACAGGCTGTGTGAGGGATAGTTGATCGACATCTGTGTAACAAAATTCAATCCAAAATCACCCGTGAGAACTGAGTTTGTGAATATGCTTAAACTGTGAAAATGGCAGGAGGAAGGATGAACGGAGGGGGAGTACTAAACTTGGTTTAGACATGCACTTCACCTTATTGCTTAAAGTGCAGCTGTGTTGATCAATTTGGTTGATATCCCACTTGCTTCCTGGTAGGCGGTATGATCGCCATTCGAACTTGGGCATAAGATTAATCTGTAACAGTTGTATCTTGTATTATATGTTGTATGATTAATTCCAAAGGTATTTTTCCATTGTTGTATGACATCTTTACATTTATGGTTTTTCAGTGGGTACTATTTTTTCATTGTTGTTTCGTCCTGTGTTACTTTATCTCTAATGTTTAAAATTACGCTCATAACAGCTAATAGTATTGGATTGAATTGCAACTTCAGATCAACCATGGTGACCTTTTGTTTTTTTGATTAATACATGAAAAGAAACGGCGAGATTCGAACTCACGACCCTAAGGCTCAACAGTGGAGGGCGATAACTAACTTAACCACCAACTTCATCAACTGTGGTGACTGGTGGAGCCAAATCTTTTGACCCTTGTGAACTAATGTATCACACGGAGGGTCCTATATGCTTTTAACTGACTGGCACAACATGTCAACCTTGAAGTAAAAAGGTTCAATTTTGTTACTTATTTTACTTTTTGGAAAAACCAATTAAAACTGGAAGGGTATTTAGGAGTACATTTGGGTAAAATTACTAGTTTAACATTAAGGGGTTGTTTGGTACGTAGGTTTGGGAGAGTTTGGTAACATGGGTTGGCGAGTAAATCCCCTTAAATCCATGTTTGACAACCATAAAATATAAATAGGATTTCAAACTCGGTCCGATCATAGCCCGGTGGGTGGGTTTCATTTGTGAGTTTGAGGGTTTAACATGCAAATGACATTTATACCCCTATATATTCTATATACCTCATATACAAATTGATTAAAGGACACAATAATCATTTATATACAAATATATTATCATAATAATCATATATCCCTGCACATACCAAACATGAATATGGACAACATTAAATATTGAATCCCATCTTTGGGTCAAACCCGAGTTTGGACAATCCAATCCAAACTCCTCCCAAAAAAAATACTAAACATGCCCTAAGAGTGTTTAGAGGTAATGAGAGTGTCAATTGTATTGTGCCGTGTCATTTTTGTGTCATATCATTTTCGGTATGTGTCAATTAAAGTTTCAACATAGACTAGGTGTGTCCGATTTCCCTGAAGTAAATAAAATATAAAAATAAATATGGGATAAAAATATTACACATTACAATCCAATGTTTGCTAAGAGATTAAAAATAGAATAATAGAATACCAATTACATTCATCAATCTTATCTAATTATTAATATTTTTGTTTATCTATTCGCTAAAATAATAAATTTATAACTTCATACCCTTGAATTGTATTATAACACCACTTTCCTAGATAATATTATAATTGACTCAATAATAAGACTTGTATATAATAAAAAGTATTTTTCACAACCAAATGTAACATAAGATTAGATTAGAGAGTCTTAATCTATTATGACTCTGTAATCCACCCTTTAATACTCCAACCAAACGAGCTGATTATTTCATCAATAATTTGACATAAGAAGTCCAAAATTCTTCCCCCACAATGAGTTCCCCCTCCTTCATCCATTTTCCAAAATCAGTTGGTGTGTGGTTCACATTTGCAGCAACAGACACAAACATATAAACAAATAAATACAGAGTGCATTTGATCATAAACTAACTCTTCCAATACGAGATTCAAAGTGAACCATTCTTTACGTAATGGTCCTGGATTCACAGCAATCTATACACTAATACATCTACATGATCAACTCTCTGAGCATCAATTTCTAGAAAGAGCCTCAAGCATTTGCTTAATAATTTAGCCCATTATTGGAAGCATACTGCAAACCCAGGAAGAAGAATGTACAGCTCTGCAAACCACGATCAACAATAATGGTTTCTACTCCGCAACAACAAATATTCATCAAGTTAGGCAACGGTATTATAACGAACAAACATGCCTCCTGCAACCAAAAATCCGAAGGAATTGATGTATATCATCAATCCAACAAAGGGCAATTTTGTGATGACAACATAGAGAAAAAAAAAAAAGGCTTTTCAGATGCCTTTAAGAGGACACCAACACGGTATACCTTATCATTCTGTAGCATTTTTTTTTTTTTTTGATCAAATTCTGTAGCAGTTGACTAGCATTGGCAGGAATACTGAATGAATCAGGCCTCAGTAACCTTTAAGCGAGGAACTATATTCATTGATTGCAGTTCCTAAAGCATGAAAACAGACAAGAAAAATTGAGAATTAAGCCAGTATATTAATAACTAGTAAATAACACATAAGCACCAAATAGACAAAGAATTCTTAGTTTTCCACCAAGTCATAAACACCGCCTTAGTTTTCTTCACAGACTAATGCCGTAAATCCATCATATTTAAAAAGTGTAAAGAAACACAGAACCAGGACACAAGTGAATATCCATCAAGAGGTTGGAAATTAGCATTCTATCAAGAAACTAATCTTTATTTTCAGTAAACAGTACAGCTTGTACAAAGATTGGCTATTCTCATAGCTTTGATGATTCTTTGCTACAAGCTATCAAACGACAGACAAATACTCTAACAAAAATTTAATTTGATCTCGCATCAAACAAGGACACAACACATGCATTACCACACTCACACCCTCAAAGTTTCAGTGGGAGACCCCAAGTTGATAAATCTTTTTAAAAGACTGGGAAAAAAACCTTCAAAATATCTGGAAGACATCAATTTCAATTGCCAAGTTTATAGAAGCTCAGAATGAGGAAATAGTTATGCTGATACATAAGCAGACCTTTTTGAGTTCATTTTCCCACACATACGAATTTAAAAGCATAGCTCGTGAGGAGACAATTAGTGGGGTTTCCAGGGTTCAAACAACTGCCTGTTTCACAAACTATTTACCATGAGAGGCATCCTTTACAAATGAAGGCGTCAAATATCTCATATTTAACCCTATTAAATTATGATCGGCATCAATTCCTGTCCTGCAGTAGCTAAAATTAAGGATGACCAACCCTCCAATTTCTTGGTGGTTTCTGCTTCTTGGATCATCAACTCTAGATTCGCTGACCAAATCACAAGCTCTCAAGCCTGTTCTTTCATTACGTTCTGGGTTTGGTAAAGATCAAGTTAGGGTAGAATATGCATCTTTTTCCCCTATCTCAGGCAATGGTTTTTTTAAATACTCTCCATTGCTAACTCTTTCCTTAGTCATTTATGTTCCAGTTTTTTGCACTAATTTGCTGTCTATATTAGTTTGATAACTCAATCAGTAAATTGCAAAGTCACGTTCGTGGTTTTTAGGAGCCGGACAGGGGAAATGATCAGCTATAGTAGGCTCACATGGATCTATATCTGTGAGGAACTGGGATATTCTCCACTTCATCTGGGTGTCTTCTAGTTGGTTAAGCTCTTCAGACTACCACTCTTCAGGATTTATAGCAATGGGACTAGGTCACCATCTTTTGGGGTTTTAGGATAACTTTCCCATTCCTAGTTAAGCAGTGCAATCATAACTTTTTCTATCTAGTGATGCTTGAGAGTTTGCCAAGCCTACACCTTCAACCAACTCTAGTAGTAATACTTGTCCACTCTAACATTGGGAAACACCTTGTGTTGTTTTTAGGTCTTGCTACCGATAATTTGTAACATTCATGGATTGCTATTCCGAATAACTTGGATTTATTTTGAACAAAAATTGGGTGTGATCTTTCTTCAAGAACTTTCATAAGACGACTCAGCTTAATGCTAAAATTTGAGTTCTTAGGAGTGACAACAGAATAATATACATAGATTGGCCTTCCAGAAATATTGGAGTACGCATGACAGATTTGACCGAGAAGGTCTGAACTCTGAAGACTTGGTCAACCTTTTTGACACTAGACAGAGCAGTTTATTTCTAATGTGCCTCAATGTCAATTCCAATCCTCAACTCTAGTTCAATCAACTCATCTTCTTCTCCCTTATCTTGTAATGAACATGTTGCTCATTGTAATATTAATCGCGTAATTGATAAAATTGATCTGCCTAATACTGTTTGGAAAGGAGTTTAGTCTTTCTTGAGATCCTCTATCTGAATTTGTTTCTCTAAGTTTCTTTCTCTCTTTCCTATAAGGCCTTTGTTTTGTCTTTATCTCCTGTGCCTATTCCTTGGGGTTAGAAGGAAGTAATCGGAGAACCAATGTGGAAAGAAGCAATGGCAAAAGACATGAAAGGTCTGAGAAATAATAACAATAGGGAGTTGGTGTTTCTACCTGTAGGGACAATCCCATTTGAATGTTACTGGTTTCCACAATAAAGCAAAAAAACAGATGGATCAGTGGCAAGATATAAAGAATGTCTTTTTTGACCAGCCACATTAGACATGAAGAATGTCTTTTTTCAGAGAGACCTAGAGGAGGAAGTAAAAATACAAAAATTCCTCCTAGTTTCTGATCCAACTAGACAAGAAGGCTCTTTACTAATTAAAACAATCACATAGCCATGGTATCGTAGATTTCACAAGGTGGTTATTATTGGTATGCAAGGAGTCATGCAGACACCCTATGATCAAATGTGTCACGGGAAAGATTACAATCCTCGTTGGTTGTTGATGATATCGTAGTGACTTGTGATGATGTGGAAGAGATATTGAAACCAAAAGCTCATCTAGCCAGGGAGTTTGACCTCAAGGATTTAGGTTGGTTTCGTTACTTCCTTGCAATAGAAGTTAATACGTCTAAGAAAAGGTATATTTCTACATCGGTGAAAGTATGTTCTTGATCTTCTGAAGGAGATACACACGTTGGATGTAGGCCAGTTGCTACTGTTATTGAGGTCAAGCATCATCTTAAAGGTGAAGAAGGTGATCCAATGAATGAGTGACAACAGAGATTAGAGGAAAGCTTATCTTTCTCACATAAAAGAAGGTAGATCCAAGTTTTAAAATATTTTGGATACTTGAAATCTACCTCATGAAAAGGAGTGTTATTTTGGATACTTGAAATCTACATATTCAAAAAATTTATGTTTCCTAGATGATCGAAATAATGTACTGAAATGAAATTTTGATCCTCGGGTGTGAGGCAATTCTAGGCAGAGAATAACACGTGAATAATCCTGCAAAGAGTAGAATATAGAAAGCATGATTTCAGAGAAAAACTTGCAAAGTTTACCTGAATTAAGAGCTTGCACGCATACGGCAACTTCATGGTAGAAATATTTTCCCCATTCTTACATGTTGAACAAATGCCAGTTTTTAGCTTATAGTTGTAATATCCCAACAACCCACACTTTCTGCACACCTGTGACAAAACATGAATTTTGTACAAGTATCAGAGGGATATGAGTTCCAGAAGGAAAAGAAAGAAAGCGCAAAGTGGCAGACTCATTACACACCTGAACCTCAAAAGGATCACTAGAAAGCATCAAGCGCTCAAAAATCAACATGCTCGCCCCATATGCAATCAAACAATCACGTTCCATCTCTCCCACACGTAGTCCTGGGAAATTTTCACAGTTAGAACATAGCATCTCTTCCCACGAAAAGTAAATGTCCTGTGCTGAAGATGAATATTATACCTCCATTTCGACTTCTCCCTTCTGTAGGCTGTCTTGTAATCATGACACGAGGCCCGCTACCACGAGCATGCATTTTATCCAGGACCTAAGAGCAAAGCAAAATAATGCAAGTAGTATAAATTCCAAAGAACGATATTTTTCCCGGGGGGGGGGGGGGCAGATCAAAGAATCATAGTTATAGGCATATTTCACTTTATTGTCTAAATTATATGACAATTTTTTTGCATCAAATGGTGGAAGTCTGTTTTAGGCAAAAGTGAATGCATTAGGAATGTGATGGTTTCCTATATGATACAAACATAGCTTGTATCCCTCATTGAATGATCAAGACCACCCAAGGTTGATACATATGCTTAAGGGACCTCTCTGCTCATTGCGAATTGGTTCAATTGGATGCTCTAAGATGGAAATAGAGCCAAACCTTAAGTAGTCAGTGGGTCAAGTCTATTAGGCATTTTTATTTCTCGGTATGCATAGGTATCTGCTAGTTTGTTTATTAGCTCCACATGCAAGTTCGGGTGCCACACGAGGAAGAATGTAAAGAGAGTTTCCGCATCTAATTATTAGAACCAACCAAGGTTGGTTTATATGTTTAAAGGGCCTCTCCACTCATTGTCAATTAATTTTCAAATTGGGTGCTCTAACAATGCATACATACGGTAACTACATTTAGATATTGTTTTTTGTCAAATAATCCAACTTGAAACCAATTGAGAATGAGAGTATATGTCCCTTAACCATATAAACCAATCTTGAATGTTCCTGACCATTCGATGTAGGGTACAAGAACTCTCTAAAGTGGAACTTGAGCTCACATGTAGGGCCAACAAACAAGCAAGCATATTAGAAAATTCAGATGCATAATAGACTTGCACCACTTACCATCAAAACCCAACTCTAATTCCAACCAAAAACCTATTGCCAATGAGTGAAAAGGCCCCTTAACATGTAAACCAACCCTGGATGGTACTAATCATTGTGACACATGATCTCTCTACAATTGCAATGTAAGTGATATGATACATTTGATAAATTTGTAAGATTTTTATGGACATCATATGATAAACAAAAAAATCATATATAAACAAGACTAATGAACATTATTGGCATATCAGGGAAAAGATACATACATTCATCCGCACACATAGGCATGAAACCAAAACTATTTGAATTTAGTAATAAAACATTACATGCTTAAACTTCGTAGTGGTTTGAATGCTCAAGAGTATGAAGACACATGCTAAGAAGGATGTATGGTGCTACTTTAACTGGATTCCCTATTTTAGACATCCTAGTTGAGAAAATCTAATTTTCTCTATGGTTACTAGATTCTTCAACACCTAAGATTCTGATATGATTTGACACAAAAACTTTTCAATGTAATTATTCCACTCGTGATGTACATTTCTCCTTGAATCTTTGTGTGCAAAAATTTTTCAATGTAAGTTTTCCAGTTTTCCTTCATTTACTCATTTCATATCAGAACCCTCGTGTATTAAAAAATGATGATTCAAGTGTCTTGGTACAAGATGCTAACTTTGAGAAGTTGTTGGATTGAATATCATATAGGAAGCGTAGGTATTGGAGAATATAATATTCGTGGTTAAGGGTGTTCAAATTTTTGATTAGCCGCAATTTTCTACCCTACCCGACCTTATCCGACCCTATTGAACGGCTAGCCGAAAAAATCGGATAGGAATACATATATATATATATATATATATATAAACTAAAAACCCTAATTCCCTAACTATATGATTTAAACTTAAAATAATTGTTATTGTATTTGTGCAACAATTATGATTGATTGACGTTTAAACTTTCTTGTGTTTTATTGTATTGTTGTTGTAATTGTTTTAAATTTTAGTGTTATTGGTTTATTGTGTTATTAAATTGGTGCATGTTATTCAATTAAATTGTTAAAATGATTAAAAAATTAATAACTACAAAAGTATTCACCCGATTTTCTACTCGACTTTCTACCCGATTAATTTAGCTGGAAGTCGAGTAAGAATACAACACTTGATCAGGTAGGATAGTTCAAGAAAAAATTCTTCCGCAAAGTATCGTGTAGGAAGACGGAAGACTATATTTCTTATCCGTAGGGTAGAGTGAACACCCCTATTCGTGGTAGATTAGAGAAAACAAGTGCTTTTTGTAAAACTCGAATACCTAAAACTTGAAAAAGTTTATTCATCAAGTTTTTTGCATCACCATTGAGGTTTAAAAGTGTTTATGAGAGATATCATCGAATATAAGTTAATAAAATAATTCAAAAAGATTATAGAATATAAAAGAGGGCAAATGACGCTTTACACCTCGAAGGATCTTTGCATTTTCCATCTACACCCTAAAAGATAGAAAATCTCGTATTGCACCCTCAATCAAATAAAAAGATAGCAAAATGCTAAATTTTAAGAAAATTGAAAACAAAAGTTCATGTAAAAACCTCAACATTGAGTACTAAACAAACAATTGAGTATAGATTTTGAATAATACAACCAATACAACAAAAAAAATTATCAAAAAAGGCAACAAACATTCGGTTTTGGACTGCATTGTTATTTTTTAATCTATTCAAGATACAACATGAAAATTTTAATCATTCAAGGTAAATTTGAGAATCTTTCAAGGTGCAAAGTGTCATTCACCCTATAAAAAATGCCCAATGAGTTGAGAAATAACACTTCAGTACCAATAAGATTCATTTTTTTTTCTTACAGAAAAAAAGTATGTCCTGTGTATACGATAGTACACAGGACATGTCCAAAACTGTTGTGATACTAGTGAAAATAACTATAAGTGACACCAGTGATTCATAATCACTATAGGCTTATATCAGGCATCTATGTTTAGTCCAAATCTTTCAATCATGGTTATAGATGAAATAAATACACAAATTTAGGATGATGTTTCCATTAGAAAGTGTGATGTTTCATTTTTCTATTATGCTAAGGGGTATAATTGTATTTTGGACATTAACTCACTATTGATATACACTTACAAGGGAGAGAAGCCTAATTAACTCTTCTTTTCATAGCCCCACTTTGTCTTTCTTACTTCTCTCTTTTCCATTGCATTTTCTTTCTTTGATTATTTGTTGTATAAATTCAACAAGTTCCACGACATGTGTTATTTGATGATGATATAATATTGATTGATAAAACTATAATAGGAACTAACAACAAATTAAAAATTTGGATAGATGTCACAGGATCAAAATGGTTTAAATTATGTATGGTTTAGTAAAAGTAAAAATCCAAAAGAGGAGTAAGCAAAGATCAAATATCAAGAGATACAAAAGAGCAAATAGTTTCAATGTTTATGATCAATTTTTTAAAAAATCCAAAAGAGGAGTAAGCGAAGATCGAATATCAAGAAATACAAAAGAGCAACTAGTTTCAATGTTTATGATCAATTTTTTATGGAGGTACAAAAATTATGGATAGAGTACTATGGATGAAATGTGGTTGCTTCATATGGAATGGAAGAGTAAGGTGCCCAGGATAGAGCATTAGTAGATTCCATTGGAGTTAATGAAGAGGAGGATTTTAGTTCTACTCTTCCATCTACCTCGTGTAATTAATTTTAAGTTAGACAAAAATTATAAAAATTGAGAGATCTCAACCTTGAATCTTGACACAAATATTGAAACTTTACAAAGAAAATATGAATTATCAAAGGAAAGGTTCTGATAATCCAAGAGGTAATGCTGAATTGTTTTGGAACCCTTTCACAGGTAGAGTTGATGGGGTTCCAAATGGTTGGGATAATAGAGTCACACGAACCTTTGTCTGAACTTTTAAATTCTTTTGAGAGTCTTCACGTGTGTCCTGTCGATTGCTGACAGATTACCTGAAATTTAAATTTGTCCGCATACATATGTAACTCACAAGTTATCTTGACTGATGAAGCCATATTGGTCATGCATACATGAGGACTCGGGAATTATAAGCCGTTAAAACCAAAAACAGATTCACCATTTTAGCCCCAAACCACACCATCAGTTCTCTACCAACTACCAAAGAGCATCAAAAGCACTCTTACCAGTCTTCTACCAAGATCTAAGCAGGGGAATCAAATCACAATTTAAAAAGTTTCAAGATTTAAGGATTGGAAAATTGGCCATTGTGGCATTCCTTGGGGTTGGCTATTTATAAGTGTGCAATGGAAACCTACGATAGTTCAATCAATCATTGTTCTCAAGGATCAAGTTTAAATCCTTTGGCTATTTGCATGTTTCACTTTGCTATTTCTTATAAGGATCAAGATGAAGCTATATTTTTGTTTGCATTTTTCATTTTTCTATTTTCTTGTTCTCATTTTTGTCTTGGGAAACATATCAGTCAAAAGTTGAGACATGTTTTCAGTACCATCTAATTGGAATAGCTTTTGTGCATTTAAAATATGTAACTGTTTAAGTAGCAACAGCCAAACTAGTTGGCAAGAGAAGAATGTTCGGTATGATGATGGCAATGATGATTATTAAGATGATGGGTTAGCACATATATGGCTTCCTTCGCATACCAGAAGTACCTTTTTTTTGGGGAAAGTATAACAGAAGTACTTAGCATTTTACTGAACATTCATATTCAGCTACTATGCAGTAGTTTAGCAGTATAGTGCAATAGTACCTACATCAATCTTAAAAATTTGTAAATGGTGTTCATTGCTTATTGTGCAGTCAGCATTTTCATGTTGTTACTTTATATACTTCAGGATCTCTTAAAAAAAACTTCAGGCTAGAGTATCATTAGGTAGTGCATGGTACTTGAACAAAGATGCCTTGATTGAGCCAGAATATCAATGAGTTCTTGTAATTGTTTTCCATTCCACAAGGTATCATTGACAAATGTTGTTGCATAAAGTGAGCAAGCTACATCCATATTTTCCAACGATCAAGTAGTTTAAAGCAGGGGCTGCAGACGAGTTAAGTCTCACCATGTGTTTCAACTTTTGGTAATAAATTGGCCCCATGAAGATGTATGCCTGTAGTGGCACACCTGTAATACCTGGAAAAGAATAAAGACCATTAGTGTGATTTCATAAAAACATGCAAAGAAAATCCATTAACATATTATACAGA